ATAAATAAAAAAATTAATTATTTAAATAACATATAAAATTAATAAAAAAACAATATAAAAAATTTATTCTTAAATAATTTTCTTTTTTTTTTTTCATCCAAGTGGACAAATCAAATGTCAAGTCCTTTGCCACGTAGGAGTGAGATGCGCCACACGAGGCAATCCTCCAAACAGCAGTTAACGACAATTAGCAGCAGTTAAGTTGACTGTGAGAATAAGGGCTAAATTGCTTCTATTGCAGAGTTCAAGGGCTTAAATGCTTCAATTAGAGTCTGGGGGCTTAATAACGATTTTGGGGTCGGTTCAGGGCTTAACTTATGGTTTTGCCAATGAGAAATCCGGGTGAGAGTGGGTGAAACGTCATGTTTAATAACACACGAGTGACGCACAAGTTCAACTTATTTTAATTTTTAGTTGTTAATAATTCTAATTTTAATCAATTCCATATAAAGCAAATATATAAAAAAAAAAATTAAAATACAGCTAGAGTTGAAGACCAACATAGATCGCAGCTTCAATTCTTGTTGTGAATTTTCTTTTGCCCTCTTCTCCTGTCCCTCGTCTCCTACATCCTCATTTCCTCCCTACTCTCCCGATCGTTTCTTGGTTCTTTGCCTCCTCTTTGCCTTTTTTTTTTTCTTTGTTTCTCTTATGTGCTTCGCCAAATTGAAGCTTTGCTCTGTGTACTTGACGGGTCGAGTGTTCCATTTCGTTCCAGAATTGGTACGATACCTTACTTTTAATTTAATTTCTTGTTCATCTCTTGCATTTGATTCTCTATCAATTGACTTTCTGAAGGATAATTTATGTAGAAATGGAATTTTTTGTCAATAGGTTTCTTGGGTTCAGAAACATGGAATTAATGCTGTTTCCTTTTCTTCATATATTTTTCATCCATTTTTGTTTGTTGGGTATCCTATTTTTAAAAATTTGGAGAATAAAGTTCGCAACTTTAATTTCGCTTTTTTCGATGGATTAATTAGAGTTTTTTTTTTTTCTATAGTTTGGTAGATCATGTGGGGCTACTTCGATTATTATGAGCATAAATATGAATAAACAAAATGGTTAAGCATTACCATATAATACATCTAAGATGTAAGCATAGTTGTTTCATAAACAACATATGAGCTTATGAATGAGAATGAAGTGGAACAGTCTACTGGCTTTTCGACCTTTTATCGATACTTTGGAATCTGGTTTTTTGTTCAGCAAAAGAAAACAATTTTATTCATAAAGGTACAAGCCACAAGAGATGATCTCAATATTTGGAGAAGTGCACCTGTTTGATTAGATGTCTAAGCCACAAATGATGTTAACTGCCTGTTGGTTTTGGGTTCAGATTTTGCTGTTAAAATAATAGAGATGAAAGAAATGAATTTCAAAAGGAAAAATAAAACTATGATGTTTAGTTCCATTCAAGATGGTGTTGTAATGCGTTTATGTGTTTAAGATGTGCTGGCATACATATTGTTAGCTATAACTTAGAACCAACAAATTCAATCCTCACAAACCTCAGAATGTGCAGGCCTGGGTTTCAAGGGAGAGGAAGAGGAAGAGTGGAATTATCTTTCCGGAATACTCTCACTTAGACTAGTTTGAGTATGAATTCAATCATAGTTTCAAAGGAAAACCAATTTACTGTTTGTACTCTCAAAATGCCTATATTAGCCCTAAACTTTATATTTTCATCTCCAAAGATTTTCTTAACATCTCTTAAGATGAAGGCTAAGTTGTTTGCACGAATAGCTTCTGTCCTTTTCTCTCATCCTCTCTTCTAAAATATAATGCTCCGGGAACCATTTGGGATGAGGATGTGATTTTCAAATGCTAATGGACCTTTTTTATTGGCCCAAAGGTAAATGGGCATTCAATTGCTGTGGAACGTGCTTAAGTTTTGAAAAGTGGAAAAACCAGTACCATGGTAACTGTTGTTGTTCTTTGATAGGCTGGTTGGTAACTCTTAGTTGTTTAAGCATGATTTTGTCCTTTTGAGTTGTTAAATTGAACTTAGTGCCTGTTTGGTTTGAGGGGAGGGGAGGGGCTTTCCCTTATTTTGCTCTAATTTCCTTTGCATTTTTAGTATATCCAAACAAGGGAAAGGGAGGGGAGGGAAATGGAAGGATATTGTCTCCCCTCCTGAAATCAAACAATATATTTTTTTTTTCATCAGCAAAAGAAATTATTATTTATTAAAGTGGGGCACCGCACATTAACATTTTAGCCCATCTTCTTCTCTAAATATCAATATAAAATGTCACACAAGCCAAGAATAAGAGCACAGTTGCAGGATCAAACTTGCTCTTTCTAACTGCATACTCAAATCAACAACCAGTTAACAAGTTTTTTCTACTTCTTCTGCAAAGAGGAAAGGAGCCTGACACCAGCTTCCAAAATCAAATACCAGATCCTATAACTTTGCGTTACACCAACTAAAAGATCTCATCTGCACCATCTCAAATTTCCTGGATAAATCCCATATAGGTTTTAGCCATGGATAGTGTTTTTCCTCACTTTTGTGTCTCATGTTTGTTTATTTGTTTTGGCATTACTGGATAATAAACTGATTTTCAGCTATCAATTATTTTTTGGATTGATGCATTCTTGCTTACCAACATCCACCCCTGGAAGGTTTAGTTAGTTTTATCATGTCTGTGTAGCATGTTTCTGGTTTTTCCTATACATATGAAATTTATTTATTGTGTTGCCTTTAGTGAAAATATGATTTTATATTGGAGTAGATTATGGAACTGAACAGCAGCATATTACTTTATTTCCACAATTTAGTTTATAAATGCTAGGCTGAGCCGTTCAACCATTGAGATGTAGAACTTTGAACATGAGTTTTATGACCAAGTTTGGTCATGTCATTCAGATTTTGCCTTTAAATATGGTTTGAAATTTAGGTAAAGCAAATCCTTATTATGTTAGTGCATGCCGACATGAGATACTTTTTATTTTACACTTATCCTTTTGCTTTGCAGGTACCAGTATAGACAATAGATGAAAGGAGCAGCTTCATCTCTTGGAAATAATATACCATCAGAAAACTTTTGGTGACCATGACAAGGAATGGAGAAAGCAGAACTGTGGTTAAGTACATAGAGCATTGTGGGTGCACTATGCCTGTTAGTGATGGATTGAGTGAAAGTACAGTTGATGTGGTGGATGAAGCATATAACAGAGATGGTAGCATTGCCAATTCCTCTAAAAGGGCTCTTGTCGGGTATGAAGGGGATACAGATTTTGAGCCACGTAATGGCATTGAATTTGAATCACATGAGGCAGCATATGCATTTTATCAGGAATACGCCAAGTCTATGGGTTTTACCACTTCAATTAAAAATAGCAGGCGTTCAAAGAAATCAAAAGAATTTATTGATGCCAAATTTGCATGTTCTAGATATGGAGTCACACCAGAATCAGATAGCACCAGCAGTCGGAGATCAAGTGTCAAAAAGACAGACTGCAAAGCAAGCATGCATGTGAAAAGGAGATCAGATGGGAAGTGGATTATTCATGAGTTCATCAAGGAACATAATCATGAACTTTTACCAGCCCTAGCGTATCATTTTCGAATTCATCGGAATGTGAAATTAGCTGAAAAGAATAATATTGACATCTTACATGCTGTTAGTGAACGGACAAGAAAAATGTATGTTGAAATGTCAAGACAGTCTGCTGGATATCAAAATGGAGGGTTCCTTCAGAATGAGATAATTAATCAGCTTGATAAAGGTTGTCACTTGGCTGTTGATGAGGGAGATGCTCAAATTATGCTAGAGTACTTTAAGCGTATCAAAAAGGAAAACCCTGACTTCTTCTTTGCAATAGACTTGAATGAAGAGCAACGGTTGAGAAATTTGTTCTGGGTTGATGCTAAGAGTAGGGATGATTACATGAGTTTTAATGATGTTGTTTCTTTTGATACGACTTATGTCAAATCCAATGAGAAATTGCCCTTTGCCCCATTTATTGGGGTGAACCATCACTTTCAACCTATGTTGCTTGGATGTGCTTTGGTTGCAGATGAAAGCAAGGAAACTTTTGTTTGGTTAATGAAGACATGGCTTAGAGCAATGGGTGGGAAGGTTCCCAAAGTAATAATCACAGACCAAGACAAACCATTGAAGGAATCAATCGAAGAAGTCTTTCCAAATGTTCGCCATTGCTATTCTCTTTGGCATATAATAGAAAAGATACCTGAAACTCTATCCCACGTTATCAAACTACATGAGAACTTCCTGCCAAAATTCAACAAGTGTGTTTTCAAGTCATGGACTGATGAAAAATTTGATATGCGATGGTGGAAAATGATAACTAGGTTTGAGCTTCATGATGATGAATGGATTCAGTCATTGTATAAACACCGACAAATGTGGGTACCTACTTATATGGAGGATGTTTTTCTAGCTGGAATGTGTACAACCCAACGCTCTGAAAGTATGAGCTCTTTCTTTGACAAATACATCCATAAGAGAATTACTTTGAAAGAGTTTGTCAAACAATATGGGATGATTCTCCAGAATAGATTTGAAGAGGAAGCCATAGCTGATTTTGATACCTGGCACAAACAGCCTGCACTTAAATCTCCTTCACCTTGGGAAAAGCAGATGTCAACAGTTTATACTCATGCTATATTCAAGAAATTTCAAGTTGAGGTTTTGGGTGTAGTTGGTTGCCATCCTAGAAAAGAAGGAGAAGACAGAGGAACAGTAACATTTAGAGTTCAAGATTGCGAAAAGGATGAATATTTTATGGTATTATGGCATGAAGCAAAGAAAGAAGTTTCTTGTATGTGCCGTTTGTTTGAGTACAAAGGTTTTCTTTGTAGACATGCTATGATTGTCCTTCAAATATGTGGTCTCACAAGCATCCCATCTCATTATATATTGAGGAGGTGGACAAAAGATGCGAAGAGTGGCCAACCAGTGCCTGGAGGAACAGAGAAAGTGCAAACAAGGGTACAGCTCTATAATGATTTATGTAAAAGAGCCATTGAATTGAGTGAGGAAGGATCCTTGTCTGAAGAAAATTACACCATTGTTTTCCGTGCGCTAGTAGAAGCACTAAAGAATTGTGTCAATGTGAACAACTCTAACAGCAGTGCTTTGGGATCTAGTAGTCATGTGCATGGTCTAAATGAAGAAGAAGAAGGAAATCAGGGGAGTATGGCTTCAAAATCAAGCAAGAAAAAGAATGCTACCAGAAAAAGGAAGGTTAATTCTTGATCTTAACTTCTGGTTTATGTGTTTATGTCCTAGTATTTTACTCTTCATATTTATCTTAAATAAAATATAAAAATAATAATGTAATAATAATAATAAAGAAAGCCTCCTTACATGTACCAGGGTCAAATGGAGTCAGACATTCTATTCCTTGATGCACAAGAGAGCTTGCAGCAAATGGTTTGTTCTTTTATTCTCTTTAAGATGTAATCTAGTTAGTATCCATAACAATTTCATTTTCATGAGCATGTGGCAAGATAAAAATGACAATGTCATTTTGAGACTCTCTGAAGATAGTTACTCTTTCAAAATAGCATATTCTATGGTCTGTGGTGTCGAGTATAAGGTTCATACCGTTTAATATTCCAAATATGTTCTATCTACTGCTAGCTGCAGTTCCATATGGACAATCACATCCTCTTAATTTGGCTTCAATCTGTGTAGGGAAACCTGGGCTCCGATGGAATACCGCTTAATGGCTATTATGGTGCACAGCCAAATGTACACGGACTGGTATCACCCTTTTTACTGTTTGGACCATTTAGTATATGATATGTATAGAGTTTTGAAGAAACTACAGTGGTTTGTAGTTGTGATGAGATGTTTATCTGGTATTTCAGGTACAGTTAAATTTAATGGAACCACCTCATGATGGTTTTTATGTTAATCAGCAGAGTCTGCAGGGTCTGGTGAGTTATATTACACTTACAAGCATAATTATAAATATAGCATTGTTTGAATTGGATTTTTGTTCTTGTAGGGACAATTAAATTCTGTGGCACCCAGCAACGATAGTTTCTTTGGGACCCAACAAAACTTGCAGGGGCTGGTATAGGGTTTTAAAAATGATATTTTTTTCTATTTTCCCGAGTTTGTGCTCTTGTGATTATTGTTTGAACTTTGCAATTTTTTCTTTCATGTGCTTGCCTCATGCAGGGACAATTGGATTACCGACATTCAACTGGTTTTAATTATCCTTTGCAGGTTGATTTCAAATAAATTATTTTTATATTGGTGTTTCAAATTTTTTCCTCGTCGGTTTTATCATTTTTAATCTTTCACATAATTGCAGGAAGAAGCCCATTTAAGATCAACACAGTTACATGGCAGTTCTTCGAGACATCCATAAGGAATAAACCTTTTCAACATTTTGTATAAAACTGTAAGTGCCTCTTGGAGGTGATTTCGTTAAACTTTGGGCTACATATGGAGGAGAGAAGTGTAGAGAAGTGAATCCAGGGAATATTGTATGTTGTCTCTTCGCAGAGCAGACAGGTTGACTCCAGTCATTGATCCCCAAACATAAGTTAGAAGGCATTCAAGAAAATGAAGTTACTCTCTTTGTACTGCCTTTCTGCTGAAATTTTAGGCAACTAAGTTAATCACGGTTTTTATTCCTTTCTCTTCAGTAGTGATGACAAATGACGCACGTTTAGAGTTGTATTCTGGGTCTTTTTCTTTCCTCTAATCCAACAGAGAAACATTAGCAGTAGCCTTCTTTCTTGAGCATTGAGTTAGATTAAGGTTACATTAAACAATGCTTTATACAAATATTTTACTCAGGACATTTCGTTTAAAAATGTAAATTTATTGTTTTTATTTATTTTAATTAATTTTTTATATTTTTACTCATTTTAATTAATAATTTTTTTAGATAATAAAAGACAAAAACTTCAAGTGCAGCACAACAATCCTGCAAGAAGCCTAATATGCTTGATTTGTTTGTTTTTTAAACTTGAATTCTTGACATTTTACCATAAGAATGAGATAAGCACTGAACTTAGATCCTTTGCGTACCAACTTCTTGCATTGTATGTATTATTACGCGCTTTTGACCAATTTTAATTTACTTGAATCACCATATCCCTTCTGCGCCAAAAGCAGAAAGTGTAACATGTTCAAAAAAACAATAACCCCCTACTAAATTGAAAATAGTGAGCCGCCGCTTTTGACAATGTCAAACAAATTCTGCTTCTGGGGATACTTGGATTTCTTATAGCTACCAATTTGAGCTAATGATGATGAATAATAGCCTAATCAGTAATCAGTGGCAAACCAAAGATGCAATGTGGGTCCCTGATCAAAGATTCCAACGCAAGCTCCGATCGTGTGGCGTGCACTCAGATCGAGTTCTGAGCCATTTAAAAATTGGTAAAAGCCTACATTAACCCCTCAAACTTACCTTAAATTCTCAAATTTTTCTTGACACAAATAAGTCCTTAAATTTGACAGTCAGAGCAATTTAACCACTTTTCTTTATAATCAACTTAATATCGGTTTGTGCATCACTTGTGTGAACAAGGTATCAACATTCCATTATCGACCAAGTGATTATTGACATTATTTATGGAAATAAGGCATAAACAAGCATTAAATTTGCTATCAAGACAAAGATTAAATTGTTTAGGTCATTAAGTTTATGATTTATTTACTTCTATAAAAGTCTAAAGACTTGATCAAGAATCTAGGGTAAAAATGCAATTTAGTAATTGGGCAAATTAGGAAACATTGTGTCAACCTATTAGTGACTAATGTACTATTGTATGAAGTTTAGTAAAAATGCAGTTTAATAATATGAAGCATCTGGTTTAATGTACAATAATATTGTATCCAATGTTTTGAAAATCGGACTGGATCGGTCAATCCGACCGATTCAATTGGCACCGCATGGCTGAAACAGGTTAGGTTGATACCTAGGTCGGTTTTGACGATTCAACCGTCCAAACCCGAAAAAATCGCTTGACCCATTTCGCTTGGTGGGTTTGCCGGGTGAATTGCTTCACGTTAGACGCACGCTGAGTCGTTGATGCTGAAAAATACACACTATTTATCCGATTTTATTTTAGATCCAAGCTTGCAGGACGCTGATGTGGAAGAACTGATTGAGATCCTTGAATTAGCACTAACGTTGGAATCATGTCGATTGGATATCTAAGGAAATCAGAGAAGAAATTAGTAGTCTTAAACCTCACATAATACAAAAACTAGAACTCCCAAAACGTAGAAACCGTACAAAATTTAATTAATAGATTCTAATATAAAATTTCATTTCGATAGATTTTTTTACTACCACATATCGAGCACAATTACCATATTTCTTAGCGGAACTGTGCCATGGAGGCACAGGACTTCACTTCTTTGGTCGATTTGAGACATCGAACGCCAGGTGAGACACGATTGTAGAGTGGTACATCATATCGTGGAATGATGCGCTCTTCATGTCCTTTCTTCACATCTGCTTTGCCTTCTCCTTCGTGAAGCATCCAAGTGCAAATCTAGATCTCAGATGACCCTGTTCAGACTATAGAGTAGGCATATCCAAGTTTTTCTAAGGCGCGTCAACAGCATTACTGTTGTTGACATAGTCGGGTTTGGTGGACCATCCAAACAGAGGGGCACACCAGTTGGAGTAAGTACGCTTTTCGCAACCTCGATCGGGTTGCTAGAAGGAGGATTGGGAAGTGTTGTTGCAGAAAACCTCTAAGATCTTCCTTTTGTGTATCTTCTCTTTGGTTAGACCTGCAAAATCCAGAGGTTGGTCCTCGGGGAGAAACTCCGATGCTTAAGTTAGTATTTTTTTGGGGAGTGTTCTCTTTATGATTATTCCGTGTATATAATGTGTCTTTCCTCATGGGTTTTGTACATCTTGGCAAGGTATCTATGTGGCCTACTTAACATGATAATCATGATATGATGTGCCTGACGAAGCAGACGTCTTAGGTGAATATAACGTGCCTTAACGGAATAACCACATTAAATGTGCGTGGCACATTCTGGTGGAGCAGGTCAAGGATCAGGTAGAGAATCGAGGTGCGGCAGAGCACTTAGCTCTGCCTTGCGTGTTGTGCACTTACAATAGAGAATCGAGGTGCGGTAGAACACTAAGCTCTGCCTTGCGTGTTGTGCACTTGCAGTAGAGAACCGAGGTGCGGCGGAGCACTGAGCTCTGCCTTGCGTATTTATACCCTTACACTATTCCCCCCCAAAGTCATTCACTTGTGAATGATGAATGGGAAGTAGGTGGTGTGATGTTGGTGGTAGCTGATATAGGGAATGTATGAAGTGGTCATGACGGAAGCCAGAATGGAAAGACATGGTAAGTGGTCACGTTGTGGCCATGACTAAGGTGAAGAGGCATGATATGTGATCGTGTTTTGGTCGTGGCCGAGGTGGAGAGGCATGACGAGTCATGCGCTATGGCCGTAGCCGAGGTGAAGGGTGTGACACGAAGTCACGTTTTATGGCCGTAGCCGAGGTGAAAAGGCATGATGGGTCATGCGTTATGGCCATAGCCGAGGTGAAGGGTGTGACACGAAGTCACGTTTTATGGCTGTAGCCAAGGTGAAGGGTAAAGGTGGGACACTTGGTAATTTTTTGTGCAAAATGTATATGAAGAGGCTCAAAGTGGGCCTTAAATGGGCCCATTTATGAAGTTCTGAAGCTGGTTACTGTACCAAACGACAGTTGCCATTAAAGGACATGCAGTAATAAATACGGTCTGCAAAAAGTAACCGTCACATTCAAAAGAACGCGACGGTAAGTTAAATGGCGAATTGAAAGGGCATGGTTACGACTATTTGATAAAATTGATCGTGATCGTTAAAGTGTATGTTTGCCATGATATATATAGCTACACTTACGTAAAAATCTAATTCCATTTGCTGCTAACATTGTGAAAATGTTCACAGAGTCCTTTGCACTTTGCTGTGGTTCAGCCTCGTTCAGCTGAAATCAGGTAATTTGTAAGCATCTTCCTTCTACTTTTCTTTAGAGTTGAGAGAGTGTCTTCTGAAGAGACGGTTAGCGATGAAAGGGTTAAAGGGAGGTTTGAGGAGGGAAAGGCGGTAGATTTGGGGGTGCCCCAAAATATTTTGGAGAGAGAGGATGAGAGGGAAGAATGTTTTAACCCTGAGGAGAAGATTGTTTCTGAGGTTATAGGGTATGAGACATCTCTGCAAAATAGGAGTGGTTTGGCCCACTTGGTTGAAAACTATGGGTTGCTTGGGCATGTGTTGGTGAGGCCGACAAGGACGAGAGAGAGGGGTTGTTCAACCCCGGGGGACTATTGGATGCCCATGTATTCCCATTACATGACGACTAGACTATGGTTCCCCATCCCAGAATTGTTGGTGTGGGTGTTGATGGAGTATGGTTTGGGGTTGACACAACTTACCCCGAACGTTGTAAGGCTAGTGATAGCCTTTGCAATATATAGCCGAGTTCGGGGGGTGTCATTCCCAATCGTGAATGATTTAAGTATTTTTATGTGCTAAATTCTAGGAGTTACAAGGAGAAGGGGTGGTACTATTTCACGGGTCGAATAGTTAATAAGAAGAGGGGTTTGTTCAGTGCTGGACCATCTTCCATCAAATGATAGAAAGATAAATTCTTTTTTGTGGATGACATTAGGTGGGACAAGATGGATGCTGAGTTGGAGAACTTGAGCCAGTGGAAGGCAAAACGGGTGAATCCCAATGAGTATAGTCTGACCCCGAGGGAGTTAGAGGATGTGAAAACGCTAGAGAAGGGGGATGAGGGCATACTAGATGTTATGGAGTACATGAGCCAGAGGATGCTAGACGCGGTTAAGATATATGGGCCAAACTCATGAAGCGAAGGTGTGTAATTTAATTGTTTGTTTCATTGTAAGGTTCTGATTAGTGTTTTAACCTTGTTTTATTTTGCAGAAGAGATGAACAAGTTCCTGGAAGCAACTGGTGGGATTGGCATTTGTAAAAAAGGAAAAGGGAAGAGGGCTGAGGTTGGGAGGCAAGGTGAGGTGAGCTCAGCATCTCAACCTGAGGTCCAAACCCTAGTTGTTTCCCAACCTAACAATGTTGGGGACGAGGTGACGATAGCTAAGGAGGGACCTGTTGTTGCAAAGAGGAGAATAATGGAGGAGCAGCAGTAGGAGGCTAGAGAAGAGGTGATGGAACCTGCCACCTTATCTCTTTGCATTGAGGTTGGGACTTCAACTACGACTGTTAAGGTCACAGCTGAACTTAAGGAGCAGGGATATATCGGCTTGCAGACAACCAGCTTCTACGATTCTAGGATGAGGAGCATAGGAAAAAAGTTCATCAACGCTTACTTCCCAAAGGTGGATCGCCAATGCGCAAGAGACAAGGTGGCTGTTAAAGGTTCGGTAGGGGTGGTGCGTCAAGCCCTTAAGGTATGATATTCCTATTTCGCTTGAAGTTCTAAGATAAAGATTTTGTTAAGTGTTTGCTGATTTGAGTTTAACCTATTGTGCAGGCTGTGAATCTTGTGAATGCATTGGCAAACGAGCATCACGAGAGCCTGAGGGATAGGATGTAGTTAAGGAAGGAGAATGTCGAGCTCATCAAGAAAAACGAGGAGGCTGAGCTTGAGGTGGCAAAGCTGAGATCAGAGATGGAGGAGCTTAGAAAGGAGAATGCCACCTTGAAGAGAAACTCGGAGCTCTCACATGAAAAATGGAAGATTTGGGAAGACGAGCTCAAGAAAAAGGAAAAAGAGTTGGACGAGGTGATAAGGGCAGTAGCTGAGTTGGAGCTCAAAGTTCACAACTCTGTTGAAGAGCATGTGGCAGAGTTTTTGAAGTCCAACACTTTTGAGGATATCATCAAACTCTACCAGCTCCCAACAACAATTGTAGCCTTCTCCGATTGCCAGAAGAAGGTGAAGTTGCAGTATCCTGACGTTGATGTGATGAAAATCACATTCAGAGATCAGGAGGGAGAAGTGGAAGAAGATGGGGAAAGTAGTACTGTTGACTTCTGTCCTGAGGTTATGTTGAAGTGGGACAGGGACAACAGAGGTCGAACCTTTTTCCCTTCGAACTTCATTCTTGAGTTCGTGCGATGGATGACGAAAGGAGCAAAGGTGCTTACAAACTGGATCAACCTGTTGAATAACTCTTCACTTCATTCATCTTTGTAAAAATAATTTGTTTGTAAACAATTAAAGTTTATGTAATAAATTCAATTTAGTATTTTAATGTGTTTGTTGACGTGCCAAAATGGATGGAGTTGCCATCTATTCAAATGAGGTGGGATAGATCACCAAGGTCTTCGTAGAAATTGACTAGGCTCAGAGGGTTGGTTAAGCATGGGGAAGGTGTTAGGTACTGTCACACCCCAGAACCCAAATCCGAGGACGCGACAGACGCCGTGCACTCGTGAGAGGGTCCCACAAATGCACAAGGCTCGGGAACTTATCCAATTCACATATGATACCACCAAAATCTGAAGATCAAATCTCTTGTAACTAATAATCCATTCAATGAATTTATAAAATTTTCAATTAAAATCCAATTTACAAGATCATGATCTATATCTAAAATCTATATCAATCTTGAAATGACTAGCCTTCTAACTCGTCACTTCCCATGGTTTCCCCGTCCTCGATTTTCCTTCCTGAAATGGTGGACAAGGAAAACTATAAGATAAACTCAGTAAGTAAAATATGGAGTGCTCATTATTAAACTCATAGCATGCTAACAAGTGTAATCACGAAAAACGGATACAGTACAGGAGCAAAATAGACGTCTCCTCTAAAGGTCACGACCAGTGTTATAAACCTCCCACTGGTAGGCACACTATTTGCTTGTGTATAACCCCCCACTAGCAGGGTTGAATGAACCGGTTCTATCAATAACATGTCGACATGTGCTAGCGTTTAACCCCCACTAGCAGGATCATCAATAACATAACCACATCAGAGACAAAACAGGTAGAAGTTAACAGAAAAATCATAATTCACAATCACTTTCAAATCATCAAGACAATCCATTAAATTTCAAGTAGGCCTGCTCAATTTAATGAAAAGCATAAAATTTCACTTCAAATCAGTTATACTTACTTTTGTATAAAACGGGTTTAGTCCCGCCACCACTTCAAAAACAAATCAAAACATGTTTTTAAAAATAGTACGGGCATTATCATAAATTTACTTACCTCACTCGCATAACATAGAAAATTCACTCCATAAAACCGAAGACTCGATCTCAGTGCTAACTGACAGAACGATCAAGAACCTAATCAAAATATTCCAGAAGTAATACCAGACTATCACAAATTCAAACTGAAATCATCATTAAGACTACCCTTAATTACGATGCTATTTCTATAAATCTCCACATTATCAGATATCTCCAAATTTGTTCTTATATTACAAACTAATCATTTAAATCCCCGTTAATTGTTGACACTCGGTGTGTGAACAGTAATATGTGAACAGTGTCATGAGCAGTAACCACAACGTGAACAGTAACTCAAACTTCCAAAATTGGCCAAAACACTGGCTAATCTCATGGGATTTTCTCTCCAAAAATCACAGCAGTCAATTAACATTCAATCACATAAATCCCACTTAAATTAATGCTTAAATTTGTCCTAAAACTACCGGAATTATCCCCTAATTTAGCAAACATTCGGACAGCTTATGGGGCAGTAATTAACTAATAAAATTTCGGGCTTGGAGCAATCAACATACCAAAATTTTCCTAGCAGCAGCACTGGACCTGGCAAGGGGAAGAGGCCGCGGGAATTTGGGGAGAAGCTCACGGGCTACCAAAATTCAAGAAACCAAGAGCAATTAGGGTAAACCCGAGTTAAATCAAGGCTAAAAGGATGGATTAATGGCTGTTCTTACCGAAAAAAATGCCCAGAAATCACCCACAATCAAGAGCAGCCGGTAGACAGAGCAAAGCAGATCCGGATTTCCAAACAGGGGGGAAGAATTTCTGGGTTCAAATCTGGTTTTTGGACAAGAAAAGAAGGATAAAATCAAGCCTCCTCACCGGTTTTCCAAGGCATGGCCGGGTTCCCTTTTTTTTTTCTCTCGGGTTGTAGCAGGGTCGAGAAGAGCAGAAGCACGCGGGGAAGAAGAAAAGAAAGAAAGAGAAAAAAGAAAAAGAAAAGAAGCCATCCTTATCCAAAATCTTTTTCCTTTTTAAGCCCCTCAACTTTAGAATTTTGGTTATTAAGCCCAAAACAATATTTTTCCACAATTTAGTCCCTAACTCACTTATTTATTGTAGAAATTTTTGGGGTATCACATGCACCCCACAACTTCCAAATAATATGGTTACCACACATTTTAATTTTGGAGACTTTTCAATTTTATATCAAAATAATAATAATAATTACCAAAGAAAAAAAAAATTCAAAAACCCCATCATTGTCTTTTTTCGTTTATTTATTTATTTATTTTTATTTCTCCTTTTTTTTCAATTGTTTATCAATAATAGCTACAAAAAAAAAAATCACTCAAGAAAAATTAAACAAGTACAGTCCGTCATCATTTGCCTTTTTCCTCGTTTCTGTTTCTTTTGTTTCTTTTTCTATATATATATATATTTTTCTCTTTCGTTTCTTTTTTTTTTTTTTATGTAATGCATTTCAAAAGAACAGCAAATCTCAGAAAAGAAACTTTATGATAGAAAACAAAATTTGTTCATTATCTCAGATTACCGGAGCACAAACTAAATCACAGTACCCATATCCTAGTAGCTTCTAAATGATACCCTAAACTTAAAATGACTATAATTGATTTTGTTAAATTACTCTGATTAAACAAGGAAACAGCCATGAAACCAAGTGACAAATAAGACTGGGGACAAACAAATAAAGGGAGAAAATATGTATGCAACAAGAAAACACCCAATAAAAATTTTCTCTAGATTAATATAGCAACCAAGAAACAAAAGAAACGAAGAAAAAGGAAACAGATGCAGAAAACTAAGATTCAAGATCCAAATTCTTCCATATTCTCAAGAAAACACACCTGAAAAGGACAAAACCAATTATTTATTTGCTGCAAACTTCAAAATGCCAGATTTCTTCCTTCTTTTGCTTCACACTATTTGTTGGCTCCCAAATTTCTTCCTTTCTCCCTCAATTTCCCCTCCCCCTAAGCCCAAGGTGCCCCCTTTTTTATACAAAAACAAAGAGAACTCCAATCCTTTTCTAATTCTAAATTCTAATCCCAATCCCCAAAATTACAGATAATAATCTAATTCTATTCGAAATTGGAATTCTAAAACTAATCTAGTCTTTTACACATCTTCCCTCTTTCAAGACTAGATTCATACCTTTTAAAGATCAGGACTCCTCATTTGAATTGACTTTGAAAACTTCTTCTTCAATTCTTGATAAGGACTTCAAATCCGAAAATCTCTTCTTGTGTTGTTGTGATCTATCTAAACTTTGTGTGGATTTAGAGATAAATCAAAAGAATTTGGGAGTTTTGGGACAGTGGCTAGCAGCAAAGCAAGAGGAAGCAAGAATCGTGAAAATTGAGGGCTAGGGTTCGTTTGAACCCAGCATCTCTTTTTTATTTTTTAGCCCATTGGTCAAAACGGCGTTGTTTTGCCATTTTCTCCTCTCAGCCCTTCAAGTTTCCAGCCTTTATAAAAATAGTCCATTACCTTCTAATTTTATCATTTAGGCCCAATGAAAATTGGGTTATGGCAGTTGGCCCCTCTTTACATTTTTTTTTTTTTTTTGTAAAAAAGAAAAGTAAAGAATAAAAGAATAACCCAATTTGAAGCTTTGAAAACAAATTATAAGTGCAAGCTTCATTGTCTTCCTTGAGATGTGATATTCATTTCTTCTTCTCTAAAAATGCGATCTTCATTTAGTATGTGACTTCTAAGATGCAGTCTTCATCCTATCCTTTGCGAAATGTGGTCTTCATCTCTCCTTCTTCTTGAGATGCCACTTCATTTCTTCTTTTTCCTAAGATGCAACTTCATCTAGGATGTGAGTTTTTTGAGACTTAACTTCGTCTTTCTTGAGATGCAACTTCATCCCTCCTTCTTCCTAAGATGCAACTTCATCTAGGATGTGATTTTTTGAGACGCAACTTCGTCTTTTTTGAGATGCAACTTCATCCTTTCTTCTTCTTGAGATGCAACTTCATCTAGGATGTGATTTTCTAAGACGCAACTTCGTCTTTTCTGAGATGCAACTTCATCC